CTGGTTTGGCTCAGTTGTTGAGGATGGAGCCATGAAAAAGAGGTCACTGGTTTGGTTCCTGGTCAGGGCACATGCCTGGGTTGCGGCTCAAACCCTAGTAGGGAGCATGGAGGAGGCAGCCAATTGATAATGTTCCTCTGTCATCAATGTTTCTATCTCTCCCTTCCTCTCTCTAAAAATCAATAAAAATATGTAAGAAAAAAAGAGAGAAAGAAAGACCTATGTAGGGCAGCACAAAGCTTACAGTGTTAAGAAATCTCTCATTTTTTTTTGTCTCTCCTCTCCCAGGTGCTCCATAATTATATGGTTCTTTCTAGTCTAAATAAAGTAACTCTAATTTAGGCTTAAATAAGACTGTGAAATAGCCTCTCCTCCTCTTTTTACAAAAAATATTTTAAAATCAATTTTTTGAGAGAGGAAAGGAGAGGGGGAGAGAGAAACACTGATGTGAGAGCCCTCATGCACGCCCCTACTGGGAATTGAGCTGCAACCCGGGCATGTGCCCTGACTGGGAATCATACTGCTAACCTTTCAGTGCACAGGACGACGCCCAACCTGATGCCCAACCGAGCCACATGGGCCAGGGCAAACAGCCTCTCTTTAAAGGAGCAGTTCTCTTCACAAACCTTAATAATGGTTGCAGATCACACATGTTTAAATTGAATACTTTTTTTTTTTTTAACTGGGAACAAGGAACATTTGGAACACAAAATATTTTAGAGACAATTTTAAATAAAATATAAACAGTGTTTAAAAAACATATTTTTGTTTAGTTTCATAATATTCTTTTTAAAGATAAAAAAGTTAAGATTTATTTACATAAAAAGATGAATGTTGACTTTTGTGAACACTGGGAACTATTAAAATACTATAGTTGAAATCTTCAATGACTTTCTAGTACTCAGTAGCATCTCAGGGTCCCAAAAATTAATGTAAAAAGGCCTCAATTCTTACCATCCACAGAATGGATCCAGACAACTGTTCAAACTGATGGGACCCACTCCATCGAGATTTCACTGTGGCTAGCCCAAAGTCACCTATTTTTACAGTGAGGTCTTCATGAAGAAAAATATCTGTGGTGCAGTAAGTAAAGGAAAACAATAGATCTCATTTTCCAATCAGAGCAAGCATTATGAAATTTAGGTAAGAGATCTAATTTCTATAATTCTGTAATATGAAATTCTTTGAAAAAAGATGTAGTACTTTATATATTAATTAGGTCTATTTGGCCTGTATGACCTGCTTTTAAGGTTTTGAGGGCTTAAAATGAGGTAGAGTGAGGTGAGATGCTTTCCTAAGTGTATGGGAGACCCTGAAACTTCCCACAAGATTTTAGTAACATAGGCCCAAATATCCTTTTGGCACTGCTGGGGAGTGGTAAAGGCTCTTCACTGAAATGAAGGTGGTTGGCAGATAGGATCTTAATCTAAGTTTATGGAAGAGGAAAAAATATGTTTTTCTCACCTCATGTTATCCGTAACTTAGAGCCTTCAGTTACATCTCACCTACTGCTGAGCAAGGTCAGAGTGTTAAAAGGAACTAGTAGATAACTACAAACTATCTGTTTTCCAGTGCTGAAAGAACATAAGCAAGCAATCAAAAAGCCCTACTACCATAAAGATTTCAGAGATTTTTGTTGTAATGCTCAATTGTTCACAAACCAAAAGCAGGTTGTAGTACCTTGTTCTACTACACTCTCATGCAAACCCATTTATTAATTCTCTTTACAATACATTGAACTTAGCATGAAACTGTTTTTACATAATGTGAAGATAAAATGCAGAAGAAAAAGTCAGGATGTTTTCAAACTTCGCAGACAAATTTCAGGAAGGATACTATTACTCTTGAGGTCTCTGTGGATGATTGACTTGGCGTGTAAGTAACTGAAAAACAAAACATCATTTTAACCTGAGTAGGGCTAAATACTCTGGCCTCAAATTTTATAGAACATATTTAGGGGTATAAATAAAGATGTGTTTAGAACCATGATACAACTGCAAACTGTACAATGTGATAATCCCTTTACATAAGAAATATTAAAATAGACTGTAATTGAATTTAGGATTAGAGGAACATATCACTAATATGGTACAGCCAAAATTTTGTTTTCCACTAAAAGACTTTGCTTTGTCTTTTACTATTTTCCAATACAAACCTTTCACTCCAGTCAAGCCTAGTTATCCATGTCCTTTAATATCCCCTCCTACACCCACCCCTCAAATTAGTTTCGTTCTATTCTCCAGCTATTCATACCACTCCTTTAAGGTTGCATATACAATCTAACTCCTGGTTGAAGCTTTCCTATGAGTAACTCAACTGTAAGGGATCTTTCACTGTTCAGTTATATAGAAATTATTGGAACAGCTTTATTCAATAGTTTTTTTCCACCTATGTTCATTTTCTATTTAGAATGTAAAACTCTACTAGAATATGAAAGTTTGATTGATAAAATCATTCTCAAAGGTAGTATTAATATATTCTTAAAATGCCTTCTTAAAACTAGTGTGTAGCAAATTTCCTCTATAGTAGCTTTAGTTAAGTTCATTGAGGGAAAAGGGCTGGGCCTAGTTTATTTCTGTTTATCCCCAGTGCCGAGTACAGTGCCTGGCATAAAGCATTTAAAACACATCAGCTGAATCAACTACATTGAGATGCATATAATGTCCTACTCATGGTTATTTTTCTTCCTTTAAAGCTGGAGAAAACAAATATATGAGACTGCTTAAATTTGACAATGACTATTAGGAAATAAGTTTTGCTTTAAAATGAGATTATAATGTCACTGTTAAAAATAGGTTTGTAAATCATTAAGCTTATAATTTATACTTTATTTTCATCTAAGCTTCCACATCCTCTCAGAGAATAAGATTTTGATACTTTTCAGACAAAGTTTTCATTTCACACTACTGTTTATACAAAGTAACCCCTCCTCCTCCAATTACTCTGACTTCACACTATTTCCTTCAGAGCTTTTACCACAATGTAAAATTATCTTTTCATCATGACTTTTTAGGCCCAAAGTCGTTTCACAACACAAAAGTTTACTTAGAACCCAAAGTTCTGCAGTGACACAGAAAGAAAAAAACATATGGCATCATGGCCAGTTTGGCTCAGTGAATAGAGTATCCACCTGCGGAATGAAGGGTTGAGGGTTTGATTCTGGTCAAGGGCATGTACCTTGGCTGAGTTGGGGCGAGAGCAGGAGGCAACCAATCAATGTGCCTCTCACGTCAATGTTTCTCTCTCTCTCTCCCCCCCTCTGTTCCACTTTCTCTAAAAAATCAATGGAGAAAAACCTAGCTCATTTGGCTCAGAGGATAGAGCGTTGGCCTGCGGACCAAAGCATCCTGGGTTTGATTCTGGTAAAGGGCCCGCACCTTGGTTGCAGGCTCCTCCCTGGCCTGGGCTCTGGTCAGGGATCCAGCAGGAGGCAACCAATTGATTTGTTTCTCTCACTTTGATGTTTCTCTCTGTCTTTCCCTCTCTCCTCCACTCTCTCTAAAAAAAAAAAAAAAAAAAAAAAAAAATCAATGGAAAAATATCCTCGGGTGAGGATTAACAAAAACAAAACAAAAATCAATGGAAAAAATATCCTTGGGTGAGGATTAACAAAAAACAAATTTAAAAATATGGAGAAAAGTAGGTCTCAACCAAATGCATTTTCTAGATGGGAGACCTTGTCTCCATTAGAAGAAGGGGGATAAATGAAACAGTGTGCGTGGTGGAGCTCTGTGCTTCAGAGGGCTGGTGTTTAGCCACAGAAAGGTGTTAGTGTCTGAAGAAGTTCTGTCTCCTTTGAAATTAAAAACAAATGTGTGGGACAAACCAAGATGGCAGCATAGGCAAACACCTGAAATTGCTGCCTCTCACAACCACTTAAAAAATACAACTAAAAGACAAAACGGACATCATCCAGAACCACAGGAAGGCTGGCTGAGTGGAAATTCTATAACTAGAAGGAAAGAGAAAAGCACACTGAGACTCAGAGGAGGTGCGGAAGTAAAGTGCAGAGGTATGGAGGTGCACGAGGAAAGGGCTGGCAACTGAGGACGCGGTTGTCTTTTTCAATCGGGAGGGAGACACAAGCTCCCAACAGCCCTGACTCTAGTTCTGGGCGAGTCTCTGGGGACCTAGACTCATACGGGGAGAAAATGGACTGTCTGGCAGTGGGTGGAACTAAAGGGTGGCTTTCTCTCAGAGGTGCTTGCAGTGATTACCAGGACACTGACACCTGGGACCTTTTAGGGCAGGGCTGAGGAGCAGCCATAGCTGTTTGCTCCACCCTGTTGATTCCCTGAGACCTCGCCCTACCCCTTACCCACGCTGTGTGCAGAGGCTTTTGTATATGAATGACCTGGCCCTTCACAACCTAAAATTACCTAACAAACTGCAGCTGGGTCAGAGAGACCCAGAACATCCAAAAGACAGCCCAAGGCCCCACAGCACCTTGCATTGCTTCACAGCTGGGCCTCATCTGGGCACCTCCAAATTCCAAACAAAGAAGAGGAATCCTCAGATGTCTTCGTAGCTCCTGCTGGGTAGCCTCACGCAGAGGCTAAATTAGCACCTCCTTAGATCCAAGAGCCAGTGTACCCAGTAGTCAGAGTGGGACCATCCAGATTACAACTCCTCAGATCCACAAGGGACACACTCAGGGGGAAGATTCAGTGAGCACCAAAGCCCCACTGAAGCAAGTCTTGCCCCAGAAGAGTGTCTCCAGAACAGAAGTTCTCCCACTGTAGACACTGCTGATTCTCACAGCCAATTGGCTTGGAGGTCAATTCCTCCCAGTGATACCAACTACAATCAAGGCTTAACTACAACAAGACTGTGCACACAGCCCACAGAGGGGTGCAACAAGAGTGTCCACTTCAGGA